ATACCTTGAACTTTTCGAATCCATGTCATACCTAAACATAACATTGGTTCAGGTTCACCATTATCAATACGTGTAAAGTTTCCAGTAGCTGTAACTGTTTTACCATCCTTATCTTTTATACTGACTGGCACATCCGTAAACCATCCCAGTGATTCGGTGATATGTTTAGAGTTACCTTTTATACCGAAGTCAGATGACTTATCAGCTTTCCATCCGAGGGCATTAATTGTTGCATCATTCAAGGCTCCAAATTCACTTCCATTATCTAAAAAAGATTCGGAAATAGATAAATCGTTTATACTAGCATTCAGGTATTGTAGAGATGAAAACCACTCATCTGATTTTGATTCTTTTTTCCGAACTGTATGAGACTGACACATTTTTCGCATTGCCGGTGAAAGCTTAGACAATAACTGATCATATGTTTCAGGGTGGATAGTTACTAAATCAGAAGGAGGGCTAGCAGAGTTACCAGGAAAGTTTTTATTTACTGGTACTCGTTTTTTTTTTCGGAATCATCATCATACCATATATCATTTTCTTCATTATATCCATTATTTTCATTATTAACCGAAAAGTTGTAATTTATTGGTTGAAAAGGATAATATCGTTGTGTTCTATTTGATTTGGCTATCGGTTTTTTGGGTTGATTGTTTATATTAAGATGAGATAACATATGCCCAATTTCATCCACTTTCTCCTCTAATCTAATAGAGTTATCTTTTTGCTGTGGACGAGATCTTTGAAAAGGTTTTTTAGGATAATTTGAATCTAAATCTTCATTACCATATATACCTAAATTATTAAAGAATTTAGCTAAATAATATTTTTTATAATCTTCTTCCGTTTTTAAATTTGATGGAGGACTTCTTGGTTGTCTAACTGGTTCAACCATTTGTGATTTTTGTTGTAATGTATTGCTTTGCAATGGCTCAAAGAGTCTAGATTCTATTTTTTTTATTTCAGCTTTATGTTCAGCATCACGTTTTGATAGTTCAGCTTTATAATCTGCATCACGTTTTCCTAATTCAGATTTAATTTGAGCTAATGCATCATTAATCATTTTTTGTGGATCAGGAATGGATTCTTTTTTATTCACTCTGGTAATTGGATTATTTTGATATTTTCTTGCTAATCTAGCCATCCGAATTTTTTCAATTTTTATTAGTCGTTTGGTTAAATCCCCGAAAGTCATATCCTCACCTATATCTTCAGCCTTTTCTAGCCATTCTGGTACTAATCCATCTAAAAATTTTCTTCGTAAATCTTCATCTCTGTATCCTAAAATTCTTCCGGCATGTTTTACTCTTCTAACAAATTCTTCTACACTATTATCACCTTGAACTAATGATCCATATATAAGTGCTCGTGTTTCTTCTTCTATAGGTGGGGAATGCGTTTTTAATAACCATACAGCTTGACCAAATCTTATTCCAGCTACAACTACAGTTTGACCATTATTTGCATTAGGAGCGTTAACAGGATCATTCGTCGGTCTTCCTCCTGCGATACTCCAATCTTCATTCCATGGATCTGCATTAGCTCTTAATGGTATTATTTCATTTCCAGCTCGTCCATTTGCTTGATTTATAGCTTGATTACCTATTTGTACTGCTGTACGTCCTGCAACTAGCTGTATAGTAGCTTGCCCTGTATTATCTAACAAATTACACAGTTCAAAATTTTGTTTAGTAGTAATATTTTCATCATACCATTCTAACAGTTGTCCTCTCATACAACCACGTAATAATCCTTTTCCAACGTCTCTTCCCGCTGGGGCACCTGCTCCATCTGCTACATTAATACCGCGAGCTTCTACTTCTGCTCTGAATTGAGCTAGAAATTCTTCCAAATTTTCATCTCCTGAATATGTCGGTAGTTGATTAGTTGCCATAATTCGATTTTGTTGATTATTATTTTGTAGCGCTAAATTTTGTTGCTGTAAATTTAAAATATTTTGATTTTGATTTAAAATTATTTGTCGCTCATCATTTGCTTTATTTTTCCATTTTACATATCTATCAAAAATTCGATCGCGATTATATTCTAATATTCCATTTTCAGTACGACATATATTTAACTGCCTTTTATATCGTTGTAACAATAAACGTAAAGAAAATCTATCCCGTTGTAAATTTATAGCATTTCTATGCTTATCTTTATAGGAATAGTACCAGCGACGTCGTTCTTTTATTTCATTGTTATATGCAGTACTCATTAAATTAAGATCAGCTTCTGTTTTTCTTAATTCTATTTGCCGTACATCTCGTTCTGCTTCAGCATCGTATCTTCGTTGTTGGACATTTATAAGATCTGTTTGAAGATTGTTGTATTTGCGACGTATCTGTCGTGTTACTCTTTTTATTTGATTGGATAAAATTATTCTATTCGTTCCTGTATTATCCAAATAACCATCAATAGTATCGGCTAACTCAGCTATTGTTGTCATATCTGGGTCAGATGTATAACTATCTTGAGAATTTTCATCCGATTCATATTCATTTGGTGTATCCCATATCTGAGCATTTTGTAATATTTCTTGAGTATTTATAAGTTCTACTCTATCTCGATATCTTAATAATGCTAATGCGAAATTTTGACAATGTAAATCAGTAATTCGATTTTTTTGCTGAGTTATCTTATTATTTCGGTCAATAAGATTATACTTTAACGTTTCGATCTCATATTTGAGTCGCTCGTTTTCATCTATTAACTTTGCTGTTTGAGTATATGCTTTAGGTGTATTTCCAGCAGATTTGGATATTTCTCGAATTCGGGTTTTAAGTTTCTTTTCTCTTACGTCAAATTCCGCTAGTTGAGCTTCTCTATTAAGAAGTTCTTTGTCTTTTTGCTCGATCTCTTTTTTGAGCTTATAGACAATCTTTTTTAGATCTGATATCTCTTTTTCTAATTCCTCTCTTTCTTGTATTGAAAGTTCGATTGTATTTGCTAACTCATCCTCGAGATAACAGATTCTTTTCTCACGTAAAATTATATCCTGTTCAAGATTGTAAGTTCGGCGTTCATAGTCTCTGTTTGATTGAGCCAATCGACCAATTTCCTCATGAAGCTCCTGATTAGCTTGCCTTAATTCTTCCATAATTTTTTACTAACTATAATAAAAGTTATGATTGAAGAAACAAAGTTTCGAATCTCTGATTCACCTGTAATTTATATTGATTCACAAAGAGCTCATGATCTTGATTGTGAAATTGCGTTGCAAAAATTATATTACCGACCTGAAGGGTACTATCGAACTGTAGAAAAAATGCATAATGCTTGTAAAAAGGCTGGTTATAATTTTTCATTAAACGATATAAAAGAATGGCTTGAAAAACAGATATTGTATTTGATTCATAAACCTCGACCACGTTTTATTCAGTATGCATCTTTTAATGGAATTCAAAATTTAAACGAAATGCATCAATCCGATCTTACTCCTATGCCTCATGATAAAATTGGTAATCGAGTTTTTAAATATAGACTTGTAATAAAAGATGTGGCAACTAGATATCGAAAAAGCTGTGCGTTAACTAATAAATCGGCTTCTACAGTTGCTAAAGCAATTAAAAAAAATTATGATGATCCTAATAATCCTCTTTCTTGGCCTAATGTTTTATAAAGGTACTGAGTATTTAGCTGAGTGTAAAAATTTATTATTAAGGCATGGCGTATATTTCGATCCCAAAAAATCCAAAGAAAGCAATGCTATAGCAGAGCGCGATCATCAAGAATTTGAAAAACATGCTTTCATTCGTCAAGATGCCGTAGATTTTCATTTACCTTTGTCTGATAGGTCTAGAGCATGGGTTAAAGGTCTTTGTATTAATGATGACATTTATAATGATACTCCTACTCGTTTAATTCATATGTCACCTAATGAAGCTGTAAAGAGGGCATTAAAAGGGGGAAAAATAATTGCTGATACTTCTGTTAAACATCGAAGACCTATCGGATTTGATGAACCTCGGTTAAGCTATAAAGATTTTGTTTTATATTTACTTGAACCTGGTGAGTTAGAATTTGGTAAGAGACGCATAACTGATATGAATTGGTCTCCCAAAGTTTATCGTATTAAGGAATCACTAATACAAAAAAATCAACCGGTATTATACTGGCTTATGGATGAAAATGGGGATGGTCCCGAGAGGTCATTTGTGAGAGAACAATTGATGGTAGTTAAGGAGGTTGAATATCCACCTAAATGGATTCTTAAACAATATTAAATTATTCTGAAAGAAGGAGCTCTGCTCTACTCGTCTATAAGTACATCTTCAACAGCTTTCTCAATTTCTGTTTCAGTCATAGGCCTATATTTTTTGGATAGCTTATAATAAAGATCATATAAATCTTCTACACTGGTAAGTAGCTCCTTTTTACCTTGATACCATTTTCTATATCTAGTCATTCTTTTGTTGTACGCTTCTTCATCCGGAAAAAGAGTTATAGCAGTATATTTTATATACTCATCTTTGTTTTCAGCATTACGCAAATTTTTCACATAGCCAGCATATTCACTAATAAGCTTACTATCTTTTCTATATCAAAGACGAAAGGCCTCTTTTATTATTTTAATTTGTGCTGATTCAATCATTTTCCATGTAATAGCTTCCTGCATCGTTAACTCTGAGCCCTGCTCATTTATTAAACTTGAACTATTGTCTGTCATACTTGGTTTATACTTACTCTGTATTTTGTTTTATATAATATAAATTTATTCAATACAAGTTTTATTATTTAATAAAAAATATCGTTTCCTTTAACAGTCATCTTCTAAATGAGTTTTATAGCTTACTCATCTATTACCATAAACTAGTCTTCGTCAAATATATCTTCTCTAATTTGAGATGCAATATCATCTTCACTTCGTGAGTCAACTTCTATTTTATTAATTTCAATTTTCGGACATTTGCTCACTAATTGATTTATTATTTTATCTGTTATTCGTTCACAATTTTGTATTATTATAGTTTTTATACTTGTACATTTTTCTGGTATACTTAGGACAGTTTTTGGCGCTATTCGATTACTTCCATAGATAAATATATGGTTTAGATTCTTGCACGTATCCAATGTCATCTTTAGTGAACTATT